CATGATTATCACACCGGAACATCTTCACCAGCGCGCCACTTAGCACCTACTCAGCTCTTCTTAGGTCCATGAGGACCGGAGTTCCATTCTAGCCTCTCAAGATATAAACCTAAGACAGGATGCTGGATTCCTCGCATGACAGCCAAACATGGAGGTCACATGCTCTTCCCACAGTGAGAGCATCCATTTCCAAAGGAGTCATTAGTGACAACCCCAGGGAAGGAGGGGCAGGAGTGTCAACATTAGTACCAGGTGACATAACTTCCTAAGTAGAGGAGATTTTGAAACTCCATTCTGGAATTCTCATTTGCAAGTCTTGCATTTTGATTGCTATACTCGTGTGTGTAAGGCTTGGGATTAAAATACAAACCCTCATCCCCATATCTTTATTCTCCTAAAGATGACTGACAGAGAGGTGAAAGATGTTTTGAGTACAAGTGTATTATCTCTGCCAATCCTGAGTCTCCAACATATATATGCAATTCTTATTTTACAGGGAAACTCTTAAATGCTCTTACACCTGTATATATTTTCCCAGGTTTTACCTGCGCTCTTCAGAAAGAGATCTTATACCAGGGGAAGCTCTTTGTATCAGAAAACTGGATTTGTTTTCATTCCAAGGTCTTCGGAAAAGACACTAAGGTAGGTATAATTTTTTTAAAGAAAGCTATGCACTTTATTACATATTGTGAATACCAGTTGTTTGCAGTGTGACAATGTTTATAAACATTTGTATTGTTATCATACCCTTAGATCTTTATTTCCTTTATCATCGTTCCAAATAGTGCAGGTTCTGAATACCTCTAAAGGACACGAAGTTCCCTCTTTCCCTAAAGACCACTCTCTATGTATTTCCCTATATCCATCTCTCTCTCCCACAACCCTACACAAAAGCCTTTTTACCCAGATGTCACCAGAGAATCCTCACAGTTGTTCATTTAGGGAGCGTGCCATAATTTGTTGCAAAGATATGTATTACACCCAAAACCATTTTTAAAATAACAACTGGGGCGCCTGGGTGGCTTAGTTGGTTAAGCGTCCGACTTTCGCTTAGGTCATGATCTCGCGGTTTGTGGGTTCGAGCCCCGCGTCGGGCTCTGTGCTGACTGCCGGCTCAGAGCCTGGAGCCTCTTTCAGTCTGTGACTCTCTCTCTCTCTGACCCTCCCCTGCTCACGCTGTCTCTCTCTCTCTCCTAGAAATAAATCAAAAATACTTAAAAAAAAATAAAAATAAAATAAATAACGACTTTTGCACTGTGTACCTATCAGTTACCGTCGGAGACACGTAGGAAAACAAACCTATCAGTAAGCTAGTGATTAGAGCTCACTTTATATCAGGTCTGAGAGCGTCAGACACCCACGATCCCCAGTGGACCACAGGTGACAACTGTCTTCGTAAAACAGATGCGAGGGAGCACAGGCCCGAGACACGTGAGCGGTTAAGGAGGGTAGCTTAAAGGAATTGGCAGTTTTCCCAGTGCACTGCCTTCCAAAGCAAAGACCTTGGGACTGTCCCAAGAAGGAAAAAGATAATCCCCTCCCATTGGCATTCTTGCCCTTTGACCTGCACTATCACACCACAGTCCTTCAGGCCACCACCATGAGAGGAGTCAGAGAAACACCTTCGGTTTGCCTGACGTAATGAGTTTTTAATCGCTCTGACTCATGATTGTGAAGAGCAGCTTTTATATCCATGGAGTCGCTGGCTGAAAACTTTTTGTTTTGAATGATAGGTATGTTTTATTTAAATATTCTCCCTAAAGCCCCTGGCAGTCTTTTGGATAATGGCTACATAGCCAATGGCATGGAGATTCTCCATTTGGCGGGTGACGGGGGAGCAGACTAGCACACCATGCCTTAGGTCAGACATGTTACTTTAACATTGCTCCTTAATCATACCGAGTTCTGTTTAGATAAACATATTTCGATAAAGTTTCACCTGGGTCAGGATAACACAAAGCAATGTTAAGCAGTGCTCCACTGTCTTTCTAGATGTCCCAGTTATAAGAACTTGTTCGTGGAGCAGGGAAGGGACTGTGTAGCAGTGAACTCCAGTTCAGTGTGATAAGATAATTCTCAGGAATTCAGACAGAGCTGAGGCCTCTGACAAAAGCAGCAAGGCTGGAGACATTAGTGAACAAAAACTTAGTCTTTGTTAAATGGTGGAAGGGATGGGGGGAGTTCTTGTTTGTTTGTTTGTTTTTTAAGTTTATTTGTTTTCAGAGGGAGAGAATGAGCATGAGCAGGGGGGAGGGGCAGAAAGAGAGAGAATCCCAGTCAGGCTGCACACTCAGTGCAGAGCCTGATGCAGAGCTCGAACTCACAAACTATGAGTTCAAGTCTTGGCTACACGTGTCCTTTGGTGTATGATTGTGACCTAGTGGGTGAGCCTCGCTGGGCCTCAGCTGCCTCCTCTGTGTCGGAAGGCACATATACTCCTTGCCTCAGACGACCGCCATAAGGCTTAAATGGACAATACATTCAGTACTAGGGGCATTTCTGTGTAGTTTGGCATGAAGGGCCTGCTTGTACTGTCTCTCTGTTGCACTCATAAGACTTTTTTTTTTCTTTATCAAAAGCATCCTGTCAGGGGGTGCCTAGGTGGCTCAGTCAGTTAAGTGTCCAACTCTTGATTTCCACTCAGGTCATGATCTCACGGTTTGTAGGTTCAAGCTCCGTATTGGGCTCTGTGCTGACAACACAGAGCCTGCTTGGGATTCTCTCTCCCTCTGTCTCTGCCCCTCCCCTACACATGCGTTCTCTGTCTCTCTCTCTCTCTCAAAGTAAATAAATACACATTAAAAAATCCTGTCAGGCAGAGGTCCTGTGGAAGGAGGACCAGCTCTACCTGTTAGCTGTGTGGTGCCATTTAAATGACTCAGTTTCCCTGAGGCACACTGTCCAGACACATGGAATGGGGACATGAGTCCCCGGCTTATTTGGGGGTGGTATTTGGAAGGCATGTTACCAAATGTAAATTGATGGCTGTACGTTGCTGCTGTCCCAGCTGTGGACACACAGGCCTCGAAAACGAAGCGACGTGCCGTCGTTCAGTCTCTTGGGGCTTCTACCGCCCTGGAGAGTGAAGTTATTTTTATGAAGTCCTACTTTGGCTTGGTGGTCATCTCCCCCTGACACGGGCTAAGGATAGGCCATCACAGCCAAAATGGTGATAGTGACAAGAGCAGGTGGTGGGTCTTTTGGATGTGCTACAGCTAATCTAAGAGATAGGACATTGGAAGTTTTCAGGAGGTGGGAAATAAGAACCATGATAGTGATTTGTACATTTCTTCCCCTCTGAGGATGCCGTCAGGGAGACTGGGGCTTCAGGTCTGTGGCAGACTTTCCTTACTGGATCCAACACCATCCAGGATGAACTAAAGACAACCAAATGGTACACTCTAGGGAGGGACATTTTGTAAGCACCCACAGTGGAAAAATATTAATAAACTGCAGCCCTAATGTAATCAGGACCTTCTGGTCATTCTGGCAGTATTTGCATATGCCAGTAATGTTAAATGCATGTATCAGATTCCATCTAGGCTCAAACTGAAAAGTGACTTAAGCTTTATTTCTCAAATGTGGTCTGATTGTCGTTTTATACTTATGAAGCTGTTGGTTGAAAACTCCTTCTAAAGGTGTTCCATGCCTTACGTCATGAAAAAATCCAAATAGCCCCTAGTTTCTGTGTGTGTTGCTACTCAGAAACAAAATTAGACTCACTTTTATATCATCATTCATCTTGGTGTCCCAAATTACAATTTATGAGTCATCTCATACTTCAAAATTTTAGAGGGTAGAGTTCTTTGGCAAAATAGTTTTTAGCAAATGGCTCATTAAGATTAGCGCCTCAGGGCACGTTGGTGGCTCAGTCAGTTAATCATCCAACTGTTGATTTTGGCTCAGGTCAGGATCTCACAGTTTGTGAGATCGAGCCCCTGCATTGGGCTCTGGGATGACTGTGTGGAGCCCACTTGGAATTCTCCCTCTCCCTCTCCCTCTCCCTCTCCCTCTCCCTCTCCCTTCTCTCTCTCTCTCTCTCTCTCTCTCTCTCTCTCTCTCAAAATAAATAAGTAAACTTAAAAAAAATTAGCCCTCATTCTTCCATAGTCTCCCTATCTGGAACTTTGAGGAATAGAATATTTCCACCTCATAAACCTAAATATGTGAATGCAAGTAATCAGAATTAAAGGTCTTTTTTCTTCCTTCAAGCTGGCCGTACTAACCTAAGGCCCTCCTCTTCCCCACTGACCTTGTACTGTTTTAGAATATGTGAAGCGTTTTTACAAAATGTTCAAGCGAGTATGCACCTGTGGAGGGAGTCAGGTCATTTTACCATGAAGGTGTGTGGCTGTTTTCCAGGACCAAAGGGATATGATCTATTTCTCTGTGAAACCAGACTGGATTGGAGGATAGAACATAAAAGTATCAGGAACATCTAGTCTTTGTAGTATCCGGTACATGCTTGTAGTACATTGTATGAAAAACAACCCACATCTTGGATCAGATTGGTTCATCTTTGTAACCTATTATATGCATGACCTTGGGCAAGTCACCTGCCTCTCAAAACACATGTCCTCATCTCAGAATATTTCCTTCCTGGGTTGCCTGGGTGGCTCAGTCGGTTAAGCGTCTGACTCGTACTTATAACTCAGGTCATGATCTCACAGTTTGGGAGTTCGAGTCCCACATCTGGCTTGCTGCTGTCAGCATAGAGCCTGCTTCATATTCTCTGTCCCCCTCTCTGCCCCTCCCTGCTTACTCACTTTCTCTCAAAAATAAAGTTAAAAAAATTTTTTTAAAAGATGAACTCCTTCCTAGGACTGCCATAATTAAATGACATTGTCATCTGGTGAACAGGAAGGAATGAATGGGAGTAACTTCAGTTGTCACTGTTGTAAATCTCTGTTGTTTGAACCAGAAAAGTAGTTAGAATTCTGTTATTTTACCCAATCTCTTTTTAGGAGACAAATGAGGAAATGACTGACTTTTTTTTTCTTTTAAATGTGGACTGCTTCATGAATGTGCACATCGTCCCTGTGCAGGGGCCATGCTCATCTTCTCTGTATTGTTCTAATTTTATTCTATGCACGGGCTTCCTAAGAGAGCACAATGAGTGACTTTCTTAATGAGTGCTAGGCATTTTTCATACATTATCTCATTTAATCAACAGAAAATCCTGGGAAACAAGTAAGAGTATCTCCACTTTACAGATCAGGAGATTGAGGCTTAGAAAGGGTAGCTTTTGAGGTTGAGTAGTTCATGTAGATAGCGTGCACCTTAAAACAGCCAGTTGTTTTATCAGCACACTGGGTTTACTCAGGAATAGCACTTTGAGACATGCAGGCTATGGCAAATCACAGGCAGGTCTAGAGATCAAAGGAGGGAAAATTAAATTACAGAGAAAAGGAGGAAGTTGGGAAGGGTTGCTTTGAACACAAGTCCATTGGAGAGAAGTGAGAGTTCAGGGCTTCTCATTGGATGAGATGTGGTATTTCCTTATTGGCTGAGATTGTTGCTGGGCAAGGAGAAACTCTTTTGCCAGCTGGGGTGGGCAGTAAGTGGAGTGGAGGCTTCTTTCTGTTGGGGTCGGTATCTGAGGACCAGAGGTGGGGCACGAGAGCTCCCCCTCTTGGCCTCCAGATTCTGTTTAAAATGAGGTTTCCTTTATTCCGAACTGAGCTGAGAATTCACATCCCACACTTTCTGCCTACCATTACTATTCAGTGCTTTCCCTACCCGCACGTGCCTCAGGAGAGCAGGGTTTGTGGAGAGGAACCCCAAGCAGATGTCCACAAGCACATAACTTCTTTAGAGCCTTGGGCCTATCTTTAAAGTGACTGTGCACTTTGCATTCATTCCCTTGTCTCAAGATGGAGGTTTCCCACCAAGCCCTTGAGTACAATTGATGATGCCCATTTGCCCTCTGGCTTTGTAAAAGGAACTTTGAGGAGCCTGGCTTTTCTTCTTGGAGGCTGGAGAGCTTACTGGTGGTTCTGATTTCTTAAACCTCAAAAAATTTTTCCCTTGAATGTGAAGATTTGAAGTCCTGTTGTGTGAAGTCTGAACCAATATTAACTCGCTGATTCTGTTTCAGATCTCTATTCCAGCTTTTTCCGTCACCCTAATAAAGAAAACCAAAACTGCCCTTCTGGTGCCAAATGCCCTGATTATAGCGACAGTCACAGACCGGGTGAGTACTCCTCAGAGCAAGGTGTCTTTCCTTTGTCCTGTTGCTGGAGTGTTGCTTCCCCTCACAAGGGGCTTTATTCCCACATACCTGTTGTGTGTGGAATAACACAAAATTTCAAAGGAAATTTTGAATTTCCTGCTGACTTCATTATATTTGCTTGATCAAGGTAAAAAAAAAATTATTTCCCAACTTCTCTTTCCCTAGTATCTCTTAGAACAGGCTAAACTGATATATTGAGATTCTCTAATACTTAATATTTAAAAGAGCCCCCACCACCACACTGTTGATGGGGTGAGGCCGGGTGATATTGACGAGCCCCCGGAGTGGAGTGGCCAGCCTCCCCACAACCTTACTTTGTGTTTCTCCAGAACCATACCAAATACATAAATTTTGTTCTTGCCGTACACATGGGGCTTCAGGATGAGTTCCTACCCCCTCTTTGCTTCCAGGTTGCTTTAAGTAGTGTTCTTCTATACAGAAATTCAAGAGCTGCTCCATACTGCTGGGTTACCCCAAAAGTGTGCTACCAGAAATAGCTGCATAGAGAGGTGTTTATTTCAGCTTGGCCAAACAGAGGGAGTAGAATAGTATGGTTCCTCATTTTTTGCTTGAAATTATTGTTTTAGTGTTTATTTTTCAGAAAGACAGAGTATAAGCAAGGGAGGGGCAGAGAGAGAGGGAGACACAGAATCCAAAGCAGCCTCTGGGCTGCAAACTGTCAGCACAGAGCCCAACAAGGGGCTTGACCCATGAACTGTGAGATCATGACCTGAGCCCAAGTCAGATGCTTAACCTACTGAGCCATCCAGGCACCCCTTGAAATTATTTTTTTAATATTTTACCTACTATTTCCAATGAATGCATAAAAGTTACATTCCATTTCTAACCATACTGGATAACTTGAAGAGGGAAGGAGAGTGAAGGAAAGATAAAAGAGACTCTTCTAATCTGGTAGGAAATATGTTAATATTTTAGGGAAAAAATTTTAATATTAATAGCTAATAAGCAAGTACTTCTCACCAGGCATATGCTAAACACTTTGCTTCTGTTTTCACATTTGTTCCACACTGCTCCCTATGGGGGGTAGGGTGTCAAGAAAACTGAAGTCAAAGGGCACCTGGGTAGCTCAGTTGGTTGTCCAACTCTTGATTTCAGCTCAGGTCATGATCCCAGGATCATGGGATCGAGCCCCCCCCTTGGGCTCTGTGCTGATAGCATGAAGTCTGCCTGGGATTCTCTATTTCCCTCTCCCTCTGCCCCTTCCCCGCCAAAATTTTAAAAAAAAAATTTTTTTAAAGAAAACTGAAGCCAAGAGTGGTGGGGTTGTTAGCCCAATGTCACCCACTTCTAGGTGTCAGAGCCAGACTCTGCAACTAGGTCTAATGCAGGACCCATAGTTTTAACTACTTTGGAATACATACTCGCTTGGAAAGCATATCCAGTGCTCTCATTGGTGGGTAAAAGCGATAATCACAAACTTCGGAAAACGGGATCTGAAAAGATTTTGTGGCTCAAGTCGATGGAGAAAGAGTGAATTTTATTTTCTTTCATGTACCATTTTTGGTAAAATCATTTTTCCTTCTGTCATCTGTCACCAAATTACTTGTCTAGTCTGATGTCATGTCTTTCCCATTGCTTGTATGGAAGCATCCACTAGAAAAATCTCCACATTTGCACAAGGAAGAATCTGAAAGTAGCTTGAAAAAGAATGAGCCTGTGAGAGCCTCTGGGAAATTTTTAGTGGAAATGTAGGTCAAAACAGAGAAAGCAGACCCTTGGGAATTTTTAAATACCTTAAAAGAAAAGGGGTAGGCAGTGGGGAACCCATTTTAAAGAGGATCTAGCAAATATCACTAGCCTTCCCCCTCCCCCCCCCCTTTTTTTTTTTTATTTTTTAGCATCCAGGTCTTGCCTGTCTGTTTGGGACACCAGTGTCAGGGTATTGGAGCCTTCATGTCATTCAACATCTCTTTATTCCTTAAGGGGCCTGGAAGGTTTTGTTGCTGTTGTGGGGGAGTAGGTTTTGTTTATTCCAGAAACGGAATAAAAACTGAATGTCTAGGTGAATGAGACTATAGACCAGTGGAAAAAAAGAAAAAAAAATTATATATATATATATACAGATAAAGTTCTGCACTCTGAACTCTCATATCTCGTCAGGCGGTTATGTTTAGTCATCACTCTGTTTTGTTTTTCAGTACATATTTGTCTCCTTACTCTCCAGAGATTCCACTTACAAACTACTAAAATCTGTGTGTGGACATTTAGAAGTGAGTACGACATCCCCAAGCCTCACTTGCTGCCTCCCTTCTGTATTTCCTGTGGTTTCATAGTCCATCTGGTTTTCGTTTTGGTTTCACTAATTTCAGAACACAAGTGTTGGAAACAGCCCCAACCCGTCTTCTCTTGAAAACAGTTTCCGGGCTGACTGCCCTTCATCTCTGCCTCTGGTGAGTTACCTACATAACTATCTCAGTGTGAAAGAAAGGGGGTGATGTGTCCCAGTTACACTTCTCCTGACACCATGACCAGGGGACCTTAGTATCTGAGGTAAAATTGAAGACGTGGGACATTTCTGTCCTCAAGAACAGGGGGGCATAGAAGGCTGTTGACTTTTTCCAAATAATTGAAGAGCTGACCTACCTAAGAAAAAAAACAGGATTGTGGGCTGTCTGGGTGAGTGGGTGGTCCGTGGAGGTGAGCCCAGAATCTTGCTCTATTTGCTTGTCAGTGTTGTTTTAGAGGGATTCACCAAGTTGGGAGGAGGGGCATGATCCATCCCCACAAATCGTTGATTGTCTTCTATGTTCAAGGCACTGTGCTAATGTATGAAATAAGGACACCAAGAAAAACCAAAAAAACGAGCTTTTGCCTTCAAAGACTTTATAGCTTAGTAGGAAAGATGAGGAACATCCAGAAATAACTGTAAAAGAAGGACTCTGTAGTGACCCAGTGAAAGAGATTTTGTGATTCCTTCAGATTCCATTGACAGTATAGTAAATCTTCAGTGGAAAGTAGTTCCTCCCCCATTTGTACAAGTTTCCTACCTATTGTGGTATCATGTTGGCTCAAGCCACTTCTAGCTTTGTTTATTCGAGTCATTATTTCCAAACAGATTACTGTTAAATGTTGAAATACCTTCGGTGTAATGGTATGAGCCCACGGTTGTAACGTCTACAAATTTTTTTTTTTTGAGACCTGTGAAAAAGTACAGGGATTGAAAACATGGTCACATAAAAAGCTGTACAGGAATGTTTACAGCTGCTGTGTTCCTAAGAGCCAAAAGACAGAAACAGTCCTGATGCCCATCGTCTGCTGAATGGATAAATAAAATATCCTGTGTCCATACAACAGCATATTATTTGGCCCTAAAAAGGAAAGAAAACTGATCCATACAACATGGAGGAAGTTAGAAAACATGATGCTAAGGGAAGGAAGCCGGGCATAGAAGGCCACGTTATCAGCTGATTCCATTTACATGAAAGGTCCCAAATAGACAAATGGATAGGGAGAGAAAGTGGATTGGTGGTTGCCAAGGGTGGGGGAGGAGAGAGAACCGAGACGGGGACTGCTGATGGGTCAAGGGTTTCACTTTGGGGGTAAAGGAGATGTTTGGAAATAAGACAGCGGTGATGGATGCATGCCACTGTGATTGTGCTAAAAACCACTGAAGTGTATGCTTTCAATGAGGTCTTTTAGATTTCATGAATTTTATCTCATTTTTTAAAAAACCACCTTGCGACCAAGTAGTAGGGAGCAGGACAAAATAAAATGAAACACTTAGGATTTGGAATCCAAACTTGGTTTCAAGTCTGGGCTCCACCCAACCGAGTTATGCCATCAGACCAGCTCTTGAACTGCTGTGACTCAGTTTCTTCATCCAGTAAAATGCCAACCTCATGATGAGGCTGCAGTT